GTTGTCTCTAAATGGCGTGAGTGAGTTTGTGTGAAAAGGTGCGCTATGCGTTGAAGTCCCTTCAGGATCATAGTTGCATTTGAATGCCTAATGGGCGTAGACGGGAGCAAGTGGAAGAGTGGCGAGTAGCGTTGCTTGCCTGCCACGGTGGTCAGATCCTGGATCGTACGCGGCGGAGGCCAAAGCGAGCTTTCCATCCACCCGGAACCGGTTGGTAGCAAAATTGTCTGAAGGATATAAACACTGTTTTTGCCCATCTAACCAGTTCAACTCATTGTGTAGGCCAAATAGCACTCAACGAGGCACTACAGTTCAAAATGGAAGTCGAAGGCATGGCGCACCGCACAAAGAGATTGATCAAGTAGTCTGTTCAATCCTTTTCACGCCACTTACAATTAGCATGGACTGTGACATGCGGCGACCTACTCAATAGTCTAGATGTGTTTCTATCTTTTCAGAGGACCTGACACCGAGAATGGGTTCGATCCGACCCTCCACAGAGTCCTTGAATTGTGGGAGTGATTCCAGATAGCGCTGCTTCCTACCGCATATTTGCAAATCTAAAATCTGTGCTCTAAAAAAATACTTGTTTCATTCTTGTCGAGTCCTTTCTGGTATACTTGTCATTCAGTCCATTCGACTTGAAAAGAACTTTTGTCCATGAATAAAGTTGCAAGGTGTGTGGATCCGTTGCCAACCAGTCCAGCGGTATTCATTATATTGATGAGAACCACTTACCCTATAGTTTATTTTTTTTCAGTTTTCGCTTCCTAGTGTTCCGCGGTAGAATGAAATGAAACTAGTTAAACACCATTTGAATAATCATTTGTATCGATACTTAGAACTCTGAAATCTTTATTATGCTCGTCCTCGTAAGCGCTTCTTAATAGAAGGCGATCCTCTGGATCGCCTTCTATTAAGGAGCGCTTACGTTTATAATAACGCTGCTCATTGTGCAAATCCTCTTGGTGCAGCCGCAATTGCTTCAAGTCACTCCCTCGGCTGCAAACCTTTCACATGCTCTCTGACGGCGAGAGACGACTCCACAGGAGAGTGCTGAGAACGAGAGCACTCTCTGCCTCTCTCACCGGATGGGTGCCAGTGTCATGCGTGCGCCGTCGTCTGGACTCTCACCGCTTGGTTGACCGCTGCCCCGTAACCTTCTGTCCTCTTCACATCCGGTATCATATGAAAGAACGCTGGTTTCAAATGTGCGAGAGGAAGGCAGGGCCGCTGTTACGCAAATGCTCCTCAATTTGAATGCTATGCTCATTTCTGCTCTGACTTGTTCTCTCCTCCCTTCCGAGACATGTAGTTATGCCACATTGGCCGGGAGAACATTGAAGGAGGCACTGCCCCTACACAGTTGAACAGTCTCGCGCTCCAGTATAGCGGCGCTAACTACCCGCGATCGCGTCGCGCGCTGTGCCTAGAGCGCGCTAGTTGGAAAAATCGTCAAATGTACCCCCTATTTAAAGGACTATAACTTTCTTCATTGATAACCATTTCAGAAAGTGAAGGCAGCTTTTGAATGCACAAGACTTCTAGTTTCTAAATTGTGCTGAGCGTTTTTCTAAGCACGCCTATTCTCGAGAGTGGGAGACGTCGAGAAATTGTCGAGGAAATTGAAATTTACATGCGAGTTCCCACTCTTTGGAAGACAGTAGCTGTCTTCATTGGCAATGCTTTGAAAATCGGAGGAAAGCGTTGTAAAGTAGAAGATTTACGCTTTCTGATAGGTGCTCCAGTTGTTTCGAACGCTTTCTAGTTCGCGAGAAATCTGCGTCGAGGAAATGTCAAGGAAATTTTCGAAGCCACTCGAAAACTCTATTACTCCCTCGCCGTAGTAGGGAACTTCTTTGAACACCTTCAAAATGCTTCTGTACACGTCAGTTCGATGGAGTAAATTGAAAATGATGCACTTGGCGCAGATCCATTCCGTTCTTGTATGCACCAACTTCGGAATCACTTGGAAGGTGTTTTGTCCACACGACGACTTGCTTAACCCTTTCCGGACAAACCCTTTTCCGGCAAATTGGGCCTGACACCCTTGGGCTCAGGCCCAATTTGCTCCCTGTGGCCGCCTGACACCCATGGGGTGTCAGGGCTGATTTTCCAAGGATTCGGTTTTCGACAAAGTGTTTCATGTTGTTACATATCTATGTAACATACTCATGTCGTACGTATAAAAACCTAGTCTTAGATCTCAAACTAGTTCCTAAAATAACCAAAAATTAAATGGATTTCCACTTCGAGCTCAGGGAAAACAGTTATAAATCATTTGAAAACACTTCATACAACAGAATTTATGCCATCACGTGCACGTCGTATCTGATGCTATTGCATCCAAACGTTTCGGACATTTCTGGTCCCTTTTTCCCATTACAACTTATTTTGAACAATTTTCATTCCTGCCTCCCTTTTTATGGCCCTATCATGTTTTTTATACAACAGTTTTCTAGTCAAATTCACCACATAGATACTCTTAGACATGACAAATACAAAACGGGATAAAATAATGGTGTTGATGGAAATACAGGTCAAATATATTATATTTATATTCGCCGCGCAGCACGCGGCGGTAAGCATAAAAAGGCGCCGGCCACACGCGCCCGCCACGGCAAAAGTGCGCGGTCCGGAAAGGGTTAAAGCAGATTTACGATGAAAAGTTAGCTCATTGGAAATAAGGGTAGAGGTGGTCAGTGGAGCAGGGATGAAGAAGAAACCATTTGAAACGGCCCGAAACCCGAGAAATGGGACCCTTCCTTGCCCGTTGATTTGCGCATTGATGCGACTCTCATCGCTGTGCCCTCTTCAACACTACGCTCTCTCTGCTATCTAATCACTCGCCACGTATAGACCTGCGGCGAGTGATTAGATAGTCGGGCGTACCCCGCCAACCGCGCCAAGAGTGAGCCATGCTAGATCGCCGAGGTCAAATTCGCTGCCAATTGCGCGTCGGTCAGCACCCTCAGGAGGTCCGCCTGTCTTCCAACTACGCAATTTTCCACTTTTTCGACTTTCTTTCTTTGCGTAAATTCCATATTCAAGCATACCAAAAGATGTCTCTGTTTAGCTAATTAGGATACTCTTGTGGTCATAGTGATGTCTGATCATTCCTTTATTCAAATCGCTTCCTTTCCAACCCTGTTCTGATGAATGACACTTGGATTGAACGATAGTGACCTGACCCCAGGAGGAGGAACGCACGTCTCCCGTAAAGGAGAGGTGGACGTGTGGAATTAAGAATGGAGAAATCAGAGATCACGGATCATTATTCTCCTACTCTGCCTATTCTGACACGCTTTTACCATAACATAGCTTTGTGAACGGAGAGCCGCATTTATTTCGAGAAATACATCGTTAACTCCAAAT